TGCTCTGGCTGGACAATAACCCCATAATGAATAAAAAAATGCAGCAGTGCAGCCGGCAGCCAGCGGTGGAGGCGCAGGCAAGGCGGCAGGCAGCAGAGCTCGGGTCCCCCTTGGGGGTGCAGCTGGGGGAGAGAAGGGTTCCCGTGATGCCTACGTGAGAGGGACACTATTGTTAAATTTAAAGCAGAGTTTCTGGCTGGGGGAGTCCCAGCAGCTCAAATTCCTGGGCCAATGCTTCACTTGGAGACCGGTCACAAATATTTGTTAACAATCCTGAAGCAGCCGGCATGTGGGTCAGGTGTGTCAGGGCAGAGAACAAAGGCACAGACACTTTGTCTGCACCGAGAGTTGTGGAAAATTTCCCCTCTTCTTGCCTGGCTCCAGCAGGGCTCCTGGCCTCTGCAGCTCCTGTCAAATGCTCGCTGTCATTTTGTATATCCTCTCATGTAGGCTGGCTCTGGGCAACTTGGCGAAGATGGTAATTAAATGTTGGTTCTGGCCTGGGTGAAATCTCCTAGAGCTGTTACAGGAACCGATGGTGAGTTTCAAAACTCCTGACACAGCAGGAGATGAGGACATCTCAGAGAGGCAACCATTGACTAAGGGCCACGGAAACTCTGTCAACGCCTCAGGTGGCAGCTTGCCCAGGAAACACTCATTTCCCCGTGACACTGGTCAGCCAAGCTGCCTCGCAGAAAGGTTCCTCCATGCCCTTTTACATGCTGCAGAAGAGATCAGATGTGCTATAATTTTTATAGCTGGCTATGTTTCTCTGTGACTATAAGCTATTACAGTAACATGCAGTTCTGTGCTTGACGACCAAGGGAGAGCATTTCCAATTGTCTCTCCATGTCCTCAAGGAGAAAAAAAGAGTGTCTGGAAAGTTTTCACAAGCTATTTCCCACATGGGTAGTCCTTTAGTGAGCAATGTTTGCTTACCACATTCTGGCCTAGCCATGGCACTTCAAATCTGCATCTGCTCTGTTTAAGAAGCTCAAAGCACACTTCAGTAGGAGCAAGTCTGGTCATTCCTAATGCTTGGAGTAAGGGCAGAGGGGAATGACATTCAAGATTTCTCTTTACATTATGCAGAGCTTGCAGACAATCCCATTCCTCCTTCCCTCCAGCTTTAGAGCTTTCTTTTTAACCTGAATGAACTGTTTGACCTCAAAGCCAAAATAATTTCTTCCTTAAGCGATAAATTAGGCTGGAGAGCTAAAGTAACTTATCAGAAAGTATCACATCACTGTGGCTTTTGTGCAGGGGACAATATTCTGGCCTGCCACTGTGGAGCCATCCCTTGTCGTGCCGGGGTGGCTGCTGTGTTTATCTGCAGAGCCATTGTGCCACGGGGAAGCCGGAGACACCCGATATTTATCAGTGAGCTAATGCTTCCTGCATCCAGCCCGGCAGCCACACAAAGCCTGAGGTCCCCCCCAGCCCGCTGGGATTAACACGGCCAAAAGTTTGGGCAAGCCCTCCTTCCTGATGGTGGGAACAAAGGTGGGTCAAAAGCTTTGCTGGTTAGGAAGGGATGAGAGAATCTATGGTCTTCCTTCCGCAGAGATGGAGGCCACCACTAAATCAGACGGGGCACTCGCAAACAGGCAGCAGGTTCCCCTCGGCGGAGCAGCCCTGTGGGCAGCAGCTCCGGGGGCTTGGCAGGAGCCTGGCTCTGTAAACCCTACAAACGACCCCCTCAAAAACACTGACCTGGGTGGGGAAGGCATTGCCAGCACCCACTGCAAGGACAAAGGGCCAGTCTTAGATCCCCCCGGCAGCCTCCCGTACCAACAGAGCGGCTGCGCTGGGGCGATGGGCTCAGGGGGGTTGCGGTGGGGAGCTCCGCGCCAGGAGGAGCAGCTCTGCCCAAAAATGACCAATGCTTCACATAACTGCTTCTTTCGGGCCACCGCCGGGGGAATGGCAAGGATTTGCTCACCGTCAGGCACGAACAAGTGAAACGAGGCAGCTCAGTTTTCACCGAAACATGTTTCTTAATCAGCTGACAGCAATGCGGTCTTCAATTCCGTTTTTTTGAGGAGAAGGATTTTAATTTTGCAGAATGTTTCAAAATCTGGGCTCTGCTTCCTGCCTGAAAAAACAAACCCATTTTAAAGAGCTGGGATTTCCCAGAGAGCAGAAACCCTTCTTTCTGGTGGGGGGCAAGCCATCCCCCGCAGACGGGGTGCAAGGGCCAAAGGCGGGTGGGATGCCCGGGGGGTGCAGGGGTGCAAGGTCTTCCCCAGCCGCCCCACGCTGTCGCTGCTGGCGCAGCCCGGGTGACCCCACTCGGTAAAAGTTGGGGAATGCAGACACCCAGCCTGCGCGGTTACACGTGTGGGTGTGAGGCACAGTGCCAGCTGCGTGTCTGAGCCTCCCTGGGTCCCGTTGTACCGAAATGGGGGCACCGCTCGTGGCCCCCGTCCCCCCTGCAGCCGGCAGCAGCTCCCCTCGCAGCAGAGGGTGCCCACCGGGTGCCAAGCGGGGTACGGCCCCTTCACCCCCTCTTACTCCCCTCCGGCTTTTTGGGGAGAAGGAGAAAGTGCTTTGCAAGCTGCAAAGCAAAGGGGAAGGCTGAGGCTGGATCTGCAGACTGCACCAGGGCTATGGCTAACACCAGGAGACAGAAAGATGTGCTTTAAGTGAAAAAGACTGTAATACGCGTAGCCTTCTCTCTTTGGAGACTATCAAGAAGCAGCCTTGGTTTCAAACAGCACTCTCACACCTGGGGTTACCCGTGCCGTGCCGGGACTGGTGACCCCATCAGCCGAGCAGAGCACGGCTCAGCAGAGAGCGGCTCCTGGGGCAGCTCTTCAGGGGACATAGGGGATAACGTAGACATAAGTAGCTGGAAACGGCAGGATGGGAGAGCTGGTGTAGAGTGGGGGAAGAGAGAGGTGGTAGTGACAGAGCAAACCCCAGAGCCCCGAGCAGAGCGCAGAGGAGAAACCCTTCCCACTGTGGAGCAGCGTTTGGAGGCCAGCGCTGCCGGGTCAGTGACGCAGGGGCAGGTTCGCCTGGTTCCCATACGTATCCATTGCCAATTAGCTAAATTTACATTTAGCTAACTTTACATTGCAGTGCCTGAGCGATCACCAGCCTGGAGACACAGCTAGAGCAACTCCTCTTTGAAGGATAGTGTCTGCTTCTGGTTTCAGACCCAAACCCCAAACCAGTCTGACCAGCTGGAACCCAGTTTCAGGTTACACCCTGCCTTGCTCTCTTGGGTGACTTAGTGGGTAATGATCTCACTCCCAGCACACCTCACACAGTAGTTGCCTCTCCAGGTATCCACACACGTTGCATGCCCGGCTCCCAGCCCTCCCCAAGCCATGGGACCGCTGCTGCTGCTGCTGCAGCAACACCCGAGCGAGCGCTCCCCCCTGAGCTACCGCAGTCTGGGCAGATGAAAGGGTGTGAGATAGCAGGCATGGGAACCGTACCTGCCCCCTCTGCGGGTCATTGCTTCTCAGACACCACTCCCAAGTCAGGTAAGACAAACAATTCCTTTTTATTACCAGAGGGAGCGCCCCAAAAAAAAAAAAAAAAAAAAATCAAGATGTTAGGTTTATTGCATAGGCCATGATAGGCTGTGGGAAAAACAAAGAGATGGAAGAAATTATATGAGACAGGTCATGAAAAGCCATGGAGGAATCTGACCAGCCCCAGGGACACTGAGGCAGATGCCTGTGATGGGGAGAAGCATGCAGTCAGATTGCCAGCAGGCTATGGGCAGTGGTTTCTTCCCTTCCAGCCCAGGCATCGGCCCAACGAGGTAGCTCTCCTGGATCTGCGCTCGAGAAGACCTGAGCCGTGCCCTGAGCCGGGCATGGCTTCACCAGAGCCTTCCAGAGCCACTCTGCCCTCGGCCCTGAAAGAGTCCAAGCATTGGAACTAAAATCTGTTCACAGATTTTTGCTTCTTACGCACACACACACACACAAACACGCACCCATTTCCTCTCTCGTCACAGCAGGAGCTTTCCAAAAGCAGCGGGCGCTAGGAGCTGAGGGACCGGTGCCAACCCCACAGCCGACAAGGCATACCAGGCACTTCAGAAATAGCAGCTTCTGCCCCCAGAAGTCCTCAGCTCCCAGAGGTACAAGCCTGGACAACAGAGATGCAGCAGTACACAACCCCACTGCAAATAGCCTACAGGGGAACACATGGGATCTCACCAAAGTGGGGATATCACATGCTGCCAGGGGGCCAGGGATGAGCTCTGGACCTCCCGGGGCTGGGCTCATCTTGCACCCGGGGGGATTTGGGCCAGCAGGAGTGAGGAAGCCTGGGGACATCAGCCGGCGGTACCCAGCCCGCTCCTGTGCTCTGAGGGATGCCAGGGGCTCAGGTCAGGCTACATGCTCGGAGGAGAGTATAGGAAAATCAAAGCTGCAGCAAAGGTCCAGCTGCGAGGGAGCTGGGTCCTTCCACCCTGCCCTCACCATCATCAGGAAGAGTAGGGACATTTCCTTTCATTTCATGTGAGAATAAATAGATATTTTGTCAAGGTGTTTGGGGTCAGACTGAACACTGGAAAAGCAACCCGGGCAACTTACAGAGAGAAAATGGCAGATACATACTGTACACAGGAGACTGCAACACGGCAGCCAGGCAGAAAAAAATCTAGGTGTGCTTTTATGTCAAAAAGCAAACCCTAGTGATTAAAGCAAGTATTTCTGTTTCCTTCCATCTCGGAAACAGGAACCACTGGAGTGTTCCAGAGCCCTCAGAACAGGCCAGACGGTTACGTGAATCACACAGCCCTCAAGAGGCTCACCACGACCAGGAGGACTGCTGGCCTGTAGAGCCACCTTGCAGAGGACTGGGGGGAAGGGAGGAAAATATGAGGTTGGGTGGAAGAAAGTGGCACTGCAAACAAAAAATTTCTGGCTCTGGTGAACTAGCACCATCCACCACATGAATGCTACACAGATCCAGTCCCAGGGTCCTTCAGTAAGTTGAGTGGAGCTGTGCTCCAGGTCTGAGCAGGAAGAAAGATGTCATTCAGAGTTTTCACTGGATTGTTTGAGGTTAGGAAAGGATAGACATCAGAGAGCAGCAAACTGCTCCCAGATCTTCACTTTCCAGAGCAGCCATTTAGCCAAGACAATCACAAACACTAGTACTGCCAAGTCATGGCTAGATCTTGGCCTCATGCTACAAATGTCTTCAAAGAGAAAGTGTGCTTCAGGCACAGGCCTGTGTCTAAAAACAGAACTCCAGAAGTTTCTGGGAGTGCCCCAGTGCTGGGCTGGAGAGAGGGAGCCCGTAGGTCAGACTGGTTTGGTGGCACTGCTGTAAAAGAGATGCTCAGTGTCCTCTGTGGTGGAGAGGGTTGAGTTGGTAGCGGTGGTCGGCTGACGACGGCGGCTCTTCTTCCTGTTCTTCAGGAAGAAGTAGCCGATGATTGCCAGGACCACCATGATGCAGATCCCGAGGAGCACGGCAATCACCACCTCAAAGGCACCTGCGGGGGATACGTGAACAGGTTAGGAGGGCTGCTCCACGAGCTCTGATGCAGCAGGAGCGGTGAGGAAGAAGCGAGCACAAAAGCTGCTGCAGAAGCTGTGCTGGCAAAGAGAAGAGGTGGGCGATAGCTGGCCCGACAGCAGGGTGGTCACTGCACAACTGGCAAAGAAGAAGGAAGGCATAAGGGTATGGCCAGGGTATAGCCAGCCGGTCTCCCCCAAACTATAGTTCCCATCGTTTCCCGGATGCACCACGCCCTCTAAAGGCTATTCGGTGACTTCAGCAGGCTTGGCCATTTGATGCTCCTATGAATATCAAGCCCTTCTGCAACACTGGCCTTGCTGCACATGTCAACAGGAAGGCCACCAAGGGGTGGTCGCAGAAAGCACCTCCTGGCTGGGATAATGTTGTCGGAGTGAGCTATGGTGGACAGGCTGGGTTTGTTGGGAAAGAACTCACAGCAGTGCTGTGAGCACTTGGTCTTCTACAGCCAACCGATCTCCTGCCATCAACAGTGGAGATGGTCAAACGTGATGCATTTGAGAGCTGGTGTGAATTTGAAGATTAAATCACTCTCTAGGGTTGAAGAACAGAAGAGTATAATTTCAGTTCTCTGCTGAAGAAAGAGGCCTCACAGCTCTGTGGTGAAAGGACACCAACCTTAGTGTGATATTCTTTTAAGAACTTGTAATTCGATAGCTTTGGTGTTCTTTACAGTTGTAGAGAGGGTGTGTAGGGTCTTCAGATTTCCCCACAGTCTAGCACCCAACATACCCACTTTAGCCTTCTTTCGTGCAGAAGTTAGTGGCCCTTATGTGAACTTGGCCCTTAGGAAGAATTTTATGTGCCATTTTTTGATGTTGAACAGTGGAGCATTCATGCAAGTTAGTGGAAGAAAAATCAGGAGCCTCTGATATGAGCTACTGAGTCACAGACAAAGGAGAAATGGGACCACCGAGGCACAGTGCATAGAAGCATCTCTTGCCACTGCTAGCATCCCACAAATCCCACATTGCTCCCACAGCTTCAAAAGGGGGGTGGGAGAGAAGGCTATTATTTGCAAGAAAAGACAACATCTTTTACAGGACAGGGTAAAAGCAACAAGCAAGATCTGCAGGAAAAACTGTTACTCACTTAAGATAGCAGTTTGGGACTCAAATGATTCCCATCTCCGGCCAATGGCATCTGCTTCTGAAATGGGAGCAGAGAGAGGGGAAAAAGTTTAACAAAGAAGGCTAGGAACAAGGGGTAAGACAGGTTTCTGAGGAGCATATTTCCAGTGCTCTGAAGTGACTGAATGCATACAGCATCCCTCTTGACAGCCGTGGTACTGAACTCTCAGGGCAGGCCGGGAGGCACATTGTAGCTGGGGGTGGCACTTCAGAAAAGCAGCAACAGTTTGCCTCCTAACAGATACAGTCTGGCAGAATTCCTCCTGTTTCAGCTGTTGGCCTCCACAGCAACACATACAAAGCTCTAGAGTGTAAACCTTTCCCTCTTGTTTGTTTAAAACTTCTGCCTAATATGTGTCGTTGAGGATTTTCTTAATTTCTCCCCTCCCACTTGGGGAGAACTGGAGCCAAGCTAGAAAGTTAGATTCTCCTTAGAGAGGCCCTACCATATCTCTGGTTAGTTTTGTCACCCTCCTCTGTCCCTTTTTCAACGTCAGCACCCAAAATGTTTTCCAGCTGTGAGAAATGACATGCTGCATTGCAGAAAGATGCCGTAGATACACACGGTTCCCTGTAAGCCGTTGGTCACATTGAAGAATGCTGTGAGGCATGGCCAGGGTTTGACGGCAGAGCTGCTTTGACGGAAAGCTCCCAAGTCACTGTCTCTTTGGGACCACAGAATTTAATCTGGAGTTATTTTCATAGTTTGATCAGTAAAACTCCAGCCCTCACTATGTCTGCTTACTTGTGATGCCTGAACATGATTTCATGCAGTCTTCCTCTTCTTCAAAGTTGTTGTCGTTGCCACCACAGCCCCCATAGGTGAAGCGGTCACATTTCTCAGAGAACGGGTTATAGTACCAGCGGGGGATGCTCTCGGTGCACTGTCCAGTATCAGGCAAGTCCACACAGTGACCTGGCAAAGCAAGGGAGAGGTGCTTTAGCCCAAGCAGTGTGTTCCCAGAGCAGCAACATTTTCTGCTCACAACAGCAGAGCACAAGCACCATGGCAGAGGGAATCCATGACCAGAGCAGTGGCTCTCGGGTCCCCGCTGCCCAGTTGCCAACTGCTCAAACTGGCATTGCCCATAAACCCTACTAGCAAGGCGGAAAAAGGAACATCAGAGCGTGCAGTCGTGCTAGACCTTGGATTCAATCCCCTGCAGAAACGACCTGTCCTCCTCAGGAGGCAGAAGGGAACATGAAGAGCCTGGACACACAGAAACCACAGTTTGGCTTGGGTCTCCTCTACAAGCAAGCTGCATTTAAGCTGACTTGGGATATATGCTTTTAGCACAGTGGCAGTGCCACCGTCTACGTTAGTACAAACAAAACAAAGGTATGGGATCAAGCACAGGCATATGATTACTCGTATTATGCCATTGTTGTGTCCCCCACGCTGCTTTGGTTTGCACTATTTCCAAAAAAGTGCTGCGGGGTTTTGTACAGGCCAGATACTGTGCCCAACAAGCAATATGCATGAAACCTGCTTGGGTGGAAAAAGTTTAGGCAGGAGAGTGAAAGCCTGCTATAAACAGCTGTCCTCAAGGTCTGAGAACAGGCCCTTGCTCATTTTTAGTACAGGGACTACCCAGATGCTACACCCATTTTTGGAATTATACAGAGAAGCAGTTTTACCAGTCAACAGACTGAAGAAAAAAACAAAAGCTGGTAGATATCAGCCTAAGTGCTGATGGTACATACCTTGCTTACGTGTGACATTGATTTTCTGCAGTCTATTGAACTCACGAGCATCTGCAAGAGAAACATTTCATGTTAAAACATCTCCCAGCAGTTGAATACAAAAGAATGCCTCTGTCCACGCAGACATGGGCAGACAGGGCTTTCCTGCACATTCCTTTGCTACCACAAGCCAGGGAAAGGGAGATATAATTTGAAGTTCTTAAATATCTCAAAGCTATGAGAGGAACATGGGAAAAATAAAACGTACTAAAGGGAAACTATTCCCAATTTCTGTTCCACAAATATAGAGACAAAACTAAGGAAAACAAAGGCTTCTTGGTTGGTTGGGGGTTTTTTTCATCAAGAAGTATGGGGAAACTGCTATCACTCCAGGTTTTAAGAAGTGTGAAAGAGCACTACTGTAGGATATGAGAGAGGGCAAGAGAGATGAATCGTATGCTTGCAACCTAAAAAGTCAACAAAACACCCACATATAGGAAAGAGATTATGGGAATTCTGTCAGAAGAGGGAGGGAGAGACGGAGGGAGGGAGGGAGGAGGGACTGCAGACTTGGGCTGCTCACCACTGTGCATTTACATTAGCATAACGTGAGGATGTTAAGGGGACTGTGACACTGGACAGACTGGGAGAAATGGTTTCGTTTCTCATCTCCCAACTCCAGGAGAGCAGGTAAGGTCATTCAGTGAGAAAAATATTGGAAGGGGAGGGGAGAACAGGCTCTGAAGTCTTACAGACAGGTGCAGAGAAGAGAGTCGAAGAGTATTTAAGAGGCAGGAAACATCCCAGAAAGATGATCACCTCTTGCAGTCAGCAGAGATAGGGGAGATGGCAAAACCTGCAAATGTAATACTGTGGAAAGAGGTAACGCAGGGTCAGGAGATAAGAACAGAAGGCATCAAAAAGCATTGCGTCAACACCTGTGACTTACATTGCACTCATCCCTGGGCAGATACTAAGTTGTCTAAGCCAGAATTTGAAGTACTTACATTGTTCACAATACATCTCATCCGATCCATCAGCACAGTCAAGAGTTTCATCACACTCCAGATAGGCATCAATGCAGCAGCCATCCTTGCACCTGAAGAAGGGGGACTGACAGTTCCCATTGCACACTGCGTCAGAAACAGTTCAGACAGCTCATTAAAATTCATTCTTTCTCCCTGCCACACAGATGCTTTATGAAGGACTTAAAAGCTGCTGATAGGGCTGGCAAACAAGCAACAAGGCAGGTAAGTTAAGGTCTCCCTTCAGTACCACTCTGGACTCAAAAAAAAAAGAAAAAAAATCATTTCTTGTTTATAAATGAAACATTGCTCTGGGAACAGCCATGCTTCCTCTCAAAAAAGAAGTACACAGAAGGCGGAAGCAAGAATGAGCTACTCAGGAGGAATATGGAGACATTTCCCAAGCATGGGGGATTAAATTAGGAAAGACAAACTGAAACCTGCACACCCAGCTGCGAGAGCCAATGGAGAGGAGTGGTTATTCCCGTCTGCTCCAGAGGTGGACCCAAGTGTTGAGTACTGTGCCCAGTTCTGAGCTCCCCAGTGCACAAAAGACATTGGCATACTGGAGTGAATCCAGCAGAGACTCAGCAAGGGGCTGGAGCACAAAACCTGGCATGGGTTATGGAAAAGACAGAGACAGACTCATTTTGGAGGTGCACAGTAACAGAACGAGCAGCAACAGACACGAGTTGTAACAAGGGAAAGTAATTCGATATAAAGGGAAGAAAATTATGATGAGGGTCATCAAACACTGGCACAGGTTGTCCAGAGAAAGTGTAAAATCTCCTTTGTCGGAGATACCCAAAGCTGAGCAACCCAATGTGACTCAAAGCTGGCCCTGCTTTGAGTAGTGGGTTGGACCAGATGACCTCCAGGGGTAATTCCCAACCTGAATTATCCTATGACATGAAAGTGAAAGGCTTAGTAAAGAAATTAGTCTCCAGTGCCCCACTTTCCCCGCTGACTGAGTGCTAATCAAAAGCCACAGGAATGGACGTGAGACACTGAGCCTGAGCTCACAGCAGGATTACACAGTGGTGCAGGAGGCTCACCTGGTTGTTGTCGCCCACCAACAGAACCTGAAGAGACAAGGGGAAAAATAAAATAAAATTACCACCACATCATTTTGTCAGCTCAAGATCAGCTTTATATTGCCTTCATAGATCACCTAAGAAGTGCATATTTTCTGGAAGCAAACCCTGTAGGAGTTAGGGAGGGGAAATACAGGTGTCCACCACCCAGAGACCCCAGACGAGCAGTGAGGCACCCACGTGAGTCAAGCCTGGAGAAGCACAGGGGACCTTCACGCCACTACCTGGACCGTTCCCAAATAGTCTTTCTTTTCCAAGGCTTTTGCCTCCTCCTTAAGCTGTGCACTGCAAAGGGCCTGGCAGAGGCTCAGCCCATTTATTTGAGGCAGCACTAAGTCATTCTCAGCCTTGGCTACGAGGGTGCCAAGGGAGAAGATTAATTTCATTTTGGCAGTGAAGCACTTCTGGCTCCCCCCCAGCACAATGCTACCCTCTGAATTTAGGTTTCAGATGTGACACGAAGGTTTGGTGAGGGTTTCTGCAGCCGGAGACACACCAGGGACACTGACCGGGGGAGCAGGGCTCCAGGGGCTGGGTCAGATATGTTGGTAGTGTACGACTAGGACTCTTCATCTATAAAAAGCTGCAGTACCTGCCCACAGGGTCGTCCCAACCCTATGAGAAAGAGGGGGCAGATTTTTGAAGTAGACTCACCTCTAACATTCTTGCAGGCGAGTTTACACTCTTCTTCCCGTAAGTAGTTATTCTTGTTGGGCTTGCAGCCACCAAAAATGAACTCCTCACACTGCTGAAGGGTCGGGTTGTAAAACCAACGTGGAAAAGACCCCCGACACCAACCAACCTTCTTAGGACTCAAACAATGCTCTATCAACAAAGTTAACATAAACGGCTCTGGTTAGCTTGCTTTGCCTTCATATAGACAAAGGAGAATATCTTCCAAAGGAAAGTTTGTCAACAGTGTGGACACTAGTCTGAAAGATTCATAAAATCTTGAGTGGCATGGAGAAGGTGAGTAGGGAATCATGGTATATATTTTCTTATATGAAAAGCGGGGTCACAAAATCAAATTAGAAGGTGCCACGTCCATAAAGCAAAAGGAGCTGCTTCTCCACACAGCACATAGTTAAGCTGTGAAACTCCTTGCTTCAGGATGTTGCGGCCCTGCAAAGATTGCATGAGGTCAAAAAGGGATTCATCCATGGCTATTAAACACAAAGAAACAATCTTCTGCTTAAAGAAATCTCCCAGCTGCAAATTCCTTGGGGACTAGCCAAGCATAGTAGGAATTTACTGATAGCATGTCATGTTCTTGTACACTTTCCAAAGTATCAACCTCTGGACACTGTTGGATGCAGTATACTGGATTTTGGACAGACTATTAGTGTCACCTGACATGGCTGTTCTTGTATTTTTATGGTATCTGTGGTAGGAGGAGAAATTCCCTGCTTAGCTACTAGTCAACCATTTGTCCTTGCTCCTAATGCACTTGTAGTGCTGAACATTTTGATCATTAAATAAGGCCATTAAAGTAAAACACATAAATAAAGCCAGGGACACTTTGAATGTCATGCAGGTGGCTCCACCTACCCTGCGGCTTAAGGGAATTAGGGCCTTCACAGCAAAACCATGGAGTCAACAAGACCTTTCGGGTTCTCCTCTTACACCCTCAGCTGCATCCTGGGCTTCAGCCACTCTGGCATCACCCAGCACAGGGCAATGACATGCAGAAAGGATGGGGTTATTGCAGGCCACCTCTTCTGCAAGAGGATGCAAAAACCCTAAAATAGACCACTATGAATGCAGAGACCTTCCACCACGGGTCAGGTGCAGGCTTTTACTGGGAAAAGTTGACATATAAATCCGGTCTCTTGGTTGTGCTCTTTTCCCATCTACCCCTCTGAGAAGAGCACCATTAATGCCAGAGCAGCACCCAGGCTTGGGGACTCCAGCTGGACATCCGTGGGCTCAGGCTCACCTTCAGTCTGCTCAGAATTCAGCACCATGATGGTGATGTTGGTGAAGTCTTGCTGTTGTGCAGTGTCTGTGACAGTAAGCTGGAAGATGTAAGTTCCCGCCTGTAGGTTGGAGATTTCTACCTGATCTTCTTCGTGCTTCTGAGAATGGAAGAGAAAGGCTTATGCAGAAGAAGGTACTTCTAATGAGGGAATAAGCGAAGCCATGCAAGGCCCATGTTCCTGCATCAGGAAGAAAGGAGCTTGGCTGCAAACCCCCAAGCAGATGTCTGGCATGAAAAATGTCTCAGTGCTATACAATCCCCCCAAATTCTTGGGCTGGTACCCAGCTGGAGTAGCAGAGAGAAAGAGTACCACAAGCGTAATTAGATACTTCATATTTTGGGGCATTATGAAGGCATGAGGGAAAATAAAAATCTTGGGAGAGGACTGAAATACCAGTAGTTTTTATTTTACTTTTTTAAAAATAAAACCTATTATGAATCATTTACTTAGTACATAGGGAATAAGCTAGGTGTATTTAAGAAATATATACTCTTTCATTTTTAATATGATAAGTATATTTAGTTTTAGAGATGGAAACGAGTGCCTATTTCTTTGCGTGTCAAGAGGTTTCTAAAAGAGAGTGAATCATTTTGTCAGAATAGAAAGCTGTGATAGTATTGACACAAGCTTTTTCCCCATATTTGCTAACAATATTGGGCCTCCGCTTCCATGCTGCCTTCTCAGGTGCTCCCACCGAGGCGGATGAGGTGTTGCTCAGGAAGGTTTGAGATGGCACCCTGCTGCAGGGAGCCCGAGACCTGATGAGGCCCAGAAATGCCACGTGCCAGTAGTGTGCGAGAGGGTGGGGGCAACCATGAGGAGTGCTCCGTAACTTTTGGGAACAGGCTCGTGGGTGGACTTGAGGAGGGAAGGAAAAGGGGACCTCTAAGTCAGTGGCTGTGAGAGCCCAACCTAGTGCAGCCCACAGGTGACACTGAGCAAGCTGGTTCCTTCCTGCAGCTCCCTACCTTCATCTCCACGGAGGGGTCGCCGAAGACCTGTTTCCATTCATAGCTGACTATCCCTCGGTCATCCGTGCTCTCTGTGCCTCTCAGCATCACCGGTTCGCCCGGCTGCACCCTCATGTCCATGCCAGTGCGGGCTATTGGAGGATGGTCATCTGCAGAAGGAATGCAGAACAAGGCTCGGGTTAGAGGCTGAAGGGTCCAGTCCTTGTCTCCGTTACAGGAAGGCAAGGGAGGGCGATTCCTCCAGGCTAAAGCAATACAGACTTCAACCACTGAAAGGAAAACACTTTTATATGGCTGTGCTTCTTGCAGCCTGAGCAAGCAACAGGCAATCAATACCGTTATTACTGCCCTCCTGACTAAATTAGTAACTCCGCAACCCGCTCTGGCAGTGCCTTTGAGCCAGTTGGCTCCCTGGTCACTTCTGCCCACAGGAACCACGGTCAGAGGGTGCCTCTGTGGCTACAGCCATTGTGCTTCTGACCGTCGGACCACATCCTCGCAAAACAGCACAGAGCCATCTCCACCCTTCGCTTAGGGAGATGACCTGATGTGGGTGTTGAAGAATGTGGAACCGACTCTTATCACTCCTACCACCATCTCTAAGCACCGTGTTAGCATACTTAACCAGACCTATGCAATGCGGGATTTGGATGGGAAATATCCCTCCTCCACCTCATCTTCCACCCCACTCTCTGACATGCACGCCTTAAAAAAAGCACACAAGTGCCATTCGTGAGATCATTATTTTTATGCCATTCCATGGATTAGCTTACCAGCAGCCTCCACAATCCATGAAACACTTCTCCAGACCGTAAGTGTAAGAGATGAAAACTGATCCCTGCCCGTGCCAGCAAGAACAGCCTACACAATGACACTATTGAGCCTGACTCATAACTCATTTTGGCCTGAACGTCTCTGCTCACAGGCTTTTTGCATAGCTCAGCCCATAAAACTCCACCTGGTAGCACCTGTATCAGGTCCAAAACTCAATGTTCAAGTTCAGCCTGAGTTTTTTGTAAAGGCGTCGATCGTCATTTATAAGCTAGATATAAATCACTCTACCATTACACTGTTACATCAACTGTGACCAAAGAAGAGGATCAGTGCCCAAACCCCTCAGAAAACTACTCCATCAGCTAATTATTTTCACTGTTGTAGACTTGCTCCTAATTTCCTCTTTGAGTGTTTCTGGATTCAGGTCCCAGCTGCTGACTCTTTCTAGAGCCTACTGAAGGGACCTTTAATATGAGTCATGTATACAAACAAGCCTGACATGCAAAACAACCTACTTTTTAGTTCTTTCATCACTAAATTCAGTAGGATAGAGGGCTTTGCTACACATATTCCAGATCAGTTACCACAAATCCACCCAGAATCTTCTATTTTCTAGTATCTTTTATCAAATGAAGACATATTCATTCTATCCTTGGTCTTACAAATGCTGCTGCCACCAGAAAGTCACCAGGCAAACAAACCTTTCCTTGTTCACACACTTGAGGATTGCGCTCAGCCTGTTCTGGCTGCAGAATTGGGGAGGGTATGTGCGTACGAGCCCTCTGAGGTTGCCCCTGCAGCCTGCTCCCCAGACCTGCAGCGTACCCCCCCTCAACCCCAGGCTGATGGGGCTGCAGTTTTATTGTATGGGAAATGGTCAGCCGCTGCAACTTGTGCAGCTGCGGGGCTTCTGGTTACATTTCTCGCACCGGTCTGCGCGCTCTTTATTCCATCTTTTCATGTAAGTATTGGGTGGGAACAATCCGGGATCGAGCTCGTATTGTTGAGCTTGATCCAACCACCAAAATTAGGCAGGGGAGACCCAGCTGGCCTGAAAGAGGCCAGGAAGAGGACACAAGCAGGGATGCCCACCCTGGTGTCCTCTCACCCTTGGGTGAGGCACACCTCCCTGCCACTCGTCCTCAGGGCTGCAAGCCAGCGTGATGCCTCCTGTCTCAGTCAGGCCCAAAGACTGCTGAAAGACACCAAGCAGGGCCGAGAGAGCCTGGCACCTCTTGGTTTTGAGCAGGGCCAGCAGAACAACTAAATGGAGATTTGCTTTATTTTCAAGTGGTCTTGCCATGAGAACATTCATTGGTGAAAGCCATGACTCGAACTGGCAACACCTTCCCAACTGAACAGGGGAAAACAGCCCCACAGGCACCTTGTACACAGCACAACAAGCTCTGGAAAGGGGGTACGTTCCTGGCATTCCTGCCAGGCAAATGCCGTGAGCCTGCCAGGGAGAAATGCAGCCTGCTCCCTGCCACCCTCCTGCCAGGGTGAGCCCAGGAGATGGGTGCCATTGCACAAGGGAAAGACCAGTTCTTCAGCAACACAGAGGCTGATCATTAACTCACAACTCCAAATCATATTTTTCCTTGACATTTTTAAGCATGTGCACATAAAAAAAATAATAATTGCAGGCCAAACATTTCTCCACAGGTCAATTTAGTTACTTTGGGTTGTGGATTGCACAATGAAGTAAAAGTTCAGTTCTGATCAGTGGGTCAGCGACTTCTCCAGATCCCATCTCTGATTAGCCAATTCCCTGGCCCTCCTCACCTCCAGAAAAACAGTCAGAATATTTGCCTGTCTGCGGTGACTGCCAGGGAGGAGCTCCCACTAGAAATGAAGGACTTCATTTTCAAGTCTCTCCCTTTTCTCCTTAGGATGTCTGAAAGCTCAGTGACTGTGGAGTATTTCTGCTACACTGACTATGTGAAGCCTTCAGTGGGAATGTGGCTGTTCTCCACCTGAGCTTCATAACCAAGTGCTGACTGAGGCGGAATGAGTATCAACAAACTGCTCATAGAAGGAAGATTCTCCATTCAGTTTGTTTTGCCCTGAAAGTCTGTTTGAAAAATGAAAGTTACCTTTGCTATAATGCTCTTTTGACTCTGGAAAGTTTCCGCTGTAAAACTCTGTAATTAACAGGGAGATTAAAGCTTTATGATGCTGTTCTGAGTCGTGCTCTCTACTGTGGAACACATACTCCTGGAGTCACATCATTAAGGGACAACTTCCACTTCCATTTATAAAATATGTCGGAAGGTGAAATATCTTTTCTTTATGATCCTGGAGAAAAGCCTGATAGAGTAAATCCAAAACACTTAAAAACAAATTTATACGACTCACAGTGTATTCATGCCTCAGTCCCTGTTTTTTGCTTTTTTAAAAATTTTGTCTAGTTTTAAGGCTTATGCAGTCAGTGGTTTGTCTGGTTACTCCTCTAACAATGAGTAAACTTGAACCAAAGTTGATGGGGGACCACCAATCTAAAAGATATTAAATTCCTACAAGGGCTGCAAAAGCAAGCATCTAAGTGGGGGAAGAGACCCCACTAGGGACCTCGCTCTCCAAACATGCGGGCACCAGTCAAATCCCACAGCAGAAGGCACTTGCAAAGCTCCCGGTTGGGGGATTTCTCTTTTGGAGCTCAGATATCAGCCTTTGCCCTCAGGACACAAATTCACAGAAAACCAGATTTCCTCCATTCCAGTGCTCATGCAGATACACCCTAAGTACTTGAGACTATAAAGCAATGCTTGAAAATACCTCAGAATGATTTGAGGTTGCCACTGGAAAGAGCTGGAAAGCTTTCTCATGGTCACCGAGGGGCTCTTACTGCCCGCTGTTGTCTGCGTTGGCAGGAGCAGATTACAAAGGGGATAAGCGCGGCTTACGCCGGGGACACTGAGGCACTGCAAAGGGAAGGACCTCGCTGGGGACAAAAGCCACTGGGCAAGCCGGTAGCAGAGACAGGAGCAGAAATGAGGCCACCCAAATTCCAGCGTCCATGAGACATGCAACCTCAGAGATTTCAAGCGTCAGAAGCCAGCTGAGCCTGCCTGCTGCAAAAGCGGGTGGGCAGGGGTGGGCAGCAGCCTGGTTCTCCCCACAAACGCTAAAGCTTTGCTCTTAACCTTGCTTCGGAGAATTCATTCAAAAATGCACAGCTTTCAGGGAGAGTTCATTCAAATCTCGCCCATCGACACTAGAAAATTCTCCGTAGTAACAGGCAAAGGTAAGGAAGGAAAGTGCTGATGCCACAGTGTTAATTTGTCTGAGGAGGGGGAGAGAGAAGAGAACAAGGCAATGCAACACATTGCCTGGAGAAAGAGAAATACAGGTTCTTTCTGTAGGGATTCATCCTGGCTGGGCAGCAAATGCAGTCACGATAAAGCTGTATAGTTTTTGGAAAACTTATGCAGAGCCAAGCAGCTCTCAGCATTAATTTCTAGAGGTTTCTACAGTGGTTTGTAGGAGGTGCACACAGCAGGTCAACTTAACCTCTCTCAAACAATACAGCACAACTGAAAGGATTATATTTTCAGATTAATGCAATCTGCTGCTGCCCCAGGCTCCTTCCATCCTTCCTCAGGGTGTGGGAAACCAGTCCGATTTGCTTTAGTGGGCAGAGGGAAAGAGTCTCCCGTGCATCCTCATGCCATTTTAGTAAAGATCCTTTTTTTACTCCAGTCTCCTTAGATAGCTCCAGAGCCATGACATGAGGTAGCCACAACATGCAGCACTTCAGTAAATTCTGTATCACAAACAGTAGTTTCACAGTGAGTGGAAGCTGTTCATCGCCTGCTCTGAGCGGGGAGCTGGACTGGCTGGTCTCCAAGGGCCCTGCCAGTATACATTAGCCTCTGAATCTGTGATGCAGGTACTGAACATCCAATTTCCCCCTCTCCTGGCCTGAGCTGGGTGCTGGAGGACGAGCAGCTGGCTCCGGGCTGAGCAACACCAGCCAAGGGGACACCAGTGACCAGACCCGTCTCAGCCCTGGATGAGATCCCAGCACCGCTCGTTTTAGTTGCGCTGTGCCCGCAGAATGGAAGCCAGCGCGGGACAAAACGTTTGAAGATGGATGAGCTTCGAACTTAGGGAGCTCTCCTTTTTGAATGCATTACCAAAGTTTTAACCTGCAAATCTCTCTCCACGGTGAGGCAGGAGCAGACCCATCCTGAACCCTGCGGGTTCCCCAGCCCTCCCCGTCTCCCACTCACAAGCCCCGCGTTCAACAGGAAGAGTGTGTCACCGAGCATTTCACAACCACCACAAAAGATCCAGTTCAAGAAACGGACAAAGGTTCAGGGAGGTTATTTTCCAGTTTCACACCCAGAACTGGTTTGCCTAGACCAGAATAAGCTCAGGGTAGTTACTTAAACACTGGGCTCCATTATTACCAATAAAGTGCATGGTGAGCCTGCCCCTCCCGCATGAGCCAGGCAGAAAACTCGCACCAAAGTTCAGGCTGGGGAATCATTTAAGAGGATAGTGCCTTTTAACAGTAACATCAGAGACTTCGGGCTGTACGTTAGCTGGAGCAGGCCAGAGACAGAGCCAAGCTGTCGTCACGAACTTATAAAGGACTCGGAAGCTCTTGTTCTCCAAAATACTGAAAATGCACTCAGATGATGTGCAAAAGCTAGATTTCAGCTGTTTTCATTGTTGCCTGCGCCCACAGGTTTTTCTGAAGTCATGACACCGTAAGAGTGGCCACAGCGTGTTAGAGCAAGGGTGCGTCTGTCCTGTGTTCAGTTTGCCAACAGCCTGGCTGTGGATGCTCAAGCAAGAGCAAGAACAGGGCAAGCAGACACAGTGCTTCCCCCGTAATACTCTCCCAGCTTTCAGCTACTTCCATCAGGCTCCGGAAACACTCCACAATTAAATTTTCCCATTTAGCAGCCCCAGCTGTGCTCCCTCTTTCAAGTGTTACCTAGTCTCTTCCTGAACATATATAAACCTCTTAATTCAAGGGGTCTGCTCCCTCTAGTAGTAGTGTGGGTCTTGCAACGTGTCGCTTTTTTGTTTAATGTCACCCACTGGGATCACTACATATATATTTCACTATTCACTAGAGAAAACATGCTTTTAACCCTCATTATTGCAGAGAATGTCTGAGGATTGCCACATGGGCATACCCTAAAGGCTCCTAGGACACCTGACGGCAACACATAAAGGAAAGGGATGGATGATAAAGCAGCATATAAGCTTCCTGCAGACCTTTAGAGCCAGTCTCAGGGGGTTGACAATAATCTGGGCTCCAGAGCAGCCACAGAGCTTCACATTTTAACAGTGATACAGCACAACAGCAGGAAGACTAGAAAGTTTTGTCTCCAGTCCGAAACCTGGGCCAAGATCTTTTTGCCTACAAACATCTGGGAGGAAAACCTGACTGAATGCTGAAAACAGCTTCCTTAACACTCATTTCACCCGGCCTCTTCAGGCATCCTCAAAAGTCTGGAAGCAAAAATGCCGTAGAGCTTCCCTATGCTGCCAGGTGGACACGCTCGGTGCCCAGAGGCTCCTTCATTTCGCCTCCCACACCTGCACCCTCGTGCCCTTCCCCTCTCCCCCTTGGTGGCTTCCAGGCACCCACCTTCCAGCCCAGACAGTCCCATTCCTCCTTGCGTGGACCCAATTCTAGCACCACAGCTGGAAGGGCTTTGGGTTTTGGTTTGGATTTTTTTGTCTGGATCTGAGCCAAAACCGAGATCTGCATTCTTAAGCGTCTCATCAGCTGCTGTGAGGAGGAGGGCCCAGCTCATATGGTCTGATTTAGCCCTTGTTATTATTTGCCATTTCCCCAGTAAAATAAGTCCTTTTCAGCTCTGGTTTCATAAACAGTAAGGGTCCTTTATCTCTTTTCCTGCCAGCCCCCTGATGTCATTCAAGCTGATGCAGAAAGCGTTTGGTATGAGTCAAAGACAATGCCTCAGAATTCCAGGAGAGGAGGTAAACGTGCTTCGCACCGAAGCACAACATGAACATCTCAGCCTGATCCAAACACCAAGTAGCGAGCTTCCCAGTGTCTGTCACTACAGCCGGAGACCTGCCCAGCACCCTGCACCCTCCGAGAGTGCAAACACAGGGTGTAGAAGGGACCGAGCCCTTCCTACACCCGCAGCGGTGTCGTGGTGCAAACCCCACGTGAGCGAGGAGGGGCATGCCCGCTTCGGCAGGCAGGGCATCCCTAACAGCATTCTGGCATGTTTTTCACTTCTCACTGATAAGCCCTCCTGGGTCTTCCCGCTCCACCGCAGCATCTGTGAAAAGTAGCATTTAGGGATGGTTTGCAAAGCAGCACCTGCGGATCGGTGGCTGGGATGCTCCAGCTAGGTGCCATGGATCGGCACACACAGCACTGCTGGTGGCACAGAGAGCTCACTGACCCAGGGACACTTTCTAGAGACCCGCACGATGCCAGGCCCTGGGACCAGCTCAGGGAGGAGGGGGTTGCAGTCTCCTTGTATAGGGCACTGGTCCACAGAGGTGAAGGGACTGAATTGCTCAACCCTACACTGCATTTTAATCTAATCTTGTGAAATGAGGATGTGCTGGAGATGATGCATTCCCTTTTCCTCCCACAACAAAGCATGTAGGAGTTCAGACAGCTGCCAGTATGCCACCTCCAGTCCTGGAGGTGTGGGCTTCGGTTCCTCGCTAACTGCGGTTCCTGTGGAAAGGATTTTGAGCCTGGAATGGAGACGCAGGACAACTACTGCAACAGTGAGATCGAGATTTACCAGAAGGGCCTAAAATGCAGTGGGAAGCAACTAGGAGGGACAGAGGACAGGAGGACCACTTCTGCCACATCGCTGTTCAAACCAGCAACACCCAAGGGCTGCTCCAGAGGAGCCCTGCCCTGCTCCGAAACCCCAGTACTGCTATTTAGGATGGACAAAAGCAGTCAGTGTGGGGTTTGGTGCCATTTCACACCTCCAGCACCTACAAGGCTCACAGGCTGGCACATCCCAGCAGAAGATATAAGACCTGTTCAGCTCATGCCATCGAGCCCAAACCCATGTGCCCACCTGGATGCTCCCCTTGTCATCTTCACAGATCCTTTCCTTCCCCGCCACAGGTAGGCTGGGAGGGGGTGTGAGGAGGATTACCCATACAGATATCCCCTAACAGCCCTGCCCAGGCATATATAATAAACCGGTTATGGTTGCCAAAGATCCAGCCAGGCTAGAGATATCCCAGCCTCGCTAGGCTTCCTCCAAAACACAGAAGAAGGAGGTAAAAGCAGGAATTGCCGTGTTTTCAGCGTTTCTGAACACACTGCATTTCTTTGCAGGTGGCAGAGCGCGTGGCAAGCAGCCAGCTCCAGATTAGTTTGTTTTCCACCTGGTTTTCTGGGTCCAGGTGCAATCTTTCAGAGCAGGGAACCAGGGATTGGGGAAGAGAGGCCCACCTCCAAAGGGGGAGTTTTCTAATCAGCCTCCCCCAGCTGCTCCCTCTCCCTGCCCCAGCAGCAAGGACCAGCCCCAACAAGCAGAGTGATACTGAGACAGACACCTCACCGTCCGGACTGCTGCTCACAAGGTTCAGGCTGTGGCAAAATGAAAGGTAAGTGGATTGCGTCCTGCCTCCAGCCCCTGAGCAATTAAGAGATTAATGCAGCCCTTTAAAATGCGGTGATGTGTAGATTTTTAGAGGATTTCACTTTCCAACCTCAAAGGCCTGGGGGGAGGGAGAAGAAAAACAATACCTTTTTCTCTGTATTGTAATGTAGCAAAAACTCAGCCTGCGTTTGGTAAACTCTCACTCCACCCCCTTCAAATAAGTTAAAGAACAATTCCGTCTCCATTTACTAATAGGTAAACTGAGGCACAGATCTTAAGTGAGTTTATCAAAGTTAGGGAAAACCTTTGTGGCAGAGGCACATATAGAAACCCATACAGATCTTTAACATCGCTTTATCCCAACCATTTGGCAGCACAGCTGCACATATGACGGCTGGAGGAGCTGGCACCAGTGGCCATTAGTGCTCTCCCAGCCCCGGTTTGCACACATCCATTACGGGCACCTTACCATTAGATCTGTGATCCTGCATTGCCAGGTAGGAATCGTACACGTCCTTCCTCAAGAAGTTGAGAAAGCCGATCTTCCTGGCAAACCTGCAGACGAAAGCCTGCTCGTAGAGGCAGTCGAGGAGAAAGCAGCCCTGGATGTGGTCGTCTTCTGTGCCCGGGACCTGCTCCATGAGAGCCAGGTTGCAAGCGGGGTCCTTACAGCAGGCTCTCATGCAGTCCCTGCTCCGATGGACCATGGGGGACGACAAGAAAGTGGCTCCATTCTGGACGGAGGCGTCTGTATCCAGCACCAAATCTGGCACCCCTGCCGTAAAGTCTTCCAGGCACATTTCACCGAAGGGTTTTTCCTCCTGTCCTTCACCGAAGTCCGCTGCCAGCACCAAGCAGACCCAGAGCACAAGCCATGGACCTGGACTCTCTCTGGCCATCTTGGCGCCCCGATCTTCACCGCCTTGAGACCTTAATCCTTTCCTAAAGGAAGGGAGAAGATAGATGAAGCTAAGAGGGATGGTGTCCAGGTGCGTGTCACCCTGGGGTGAGCAGGGACCTGCAGAGGCTGCGCTCCAGGTCCCTGCTCCCCCCGGGGTGGCCAATGTGTCCCCCCCACCCTGCAACTCCTTCCCAGGCGTGCGCTTTCGGCCCCCCACCTGGGTGGTCTCTGGTGAAACCGATGCTGGGAAAAGGCTGTCCCCCTCAGGTGTGAGCCTTCAGCTGCGTCCCGGCGGAGACAAAGGCACTGAGAGTGCAGGAAGTGAAAACCAATTCCTGAGAGAGGAGGAAAAAAAAAATCCAGTCACTCCCCTGCATGCTGAATTGCGTAAAAGGAAGGGGAGGAGAGCTGGGCTGATACCATCTTCCACTCCTCTGGTGAAGGGAGGAAGGCTCCCTCCCCGTAGGAGCCCAGAGCGGTGTTCTGGCTCCCGCAGGTGCAAGGGCACCCACTCCAGATGAGCATCCCACCAGCCGGGTGCTTGCTGCATCCCCACGCTTAGGATGCTTTGAAGGCACCGAAAGCCGGGCAGCACGCGGTCTGTGTCCTCCGGCAGTAGCCCTCACGCTCCGGCGTGGCCCGCTGCGTGGCACGGAGCACCATTAGCCCAGGTCTCGCTAACCCGAATGAGTCAACCTTGCAGCCGCACCTACAGTGCCCACTGCCATCGCTGCTGTGAGGGGTTTCACGCCCGGTGCCGGCATCTCGAAATCATGGATTCCCTGCTCTTAGGACACAATATTCCTTTTGAGTGAAAGCACCTGGCAGCATGCCCGGAGGCTGCCTGCATGGCAGGAGCCCTGCCACCACAGCAGTGAAAACTTTTAGTAATCACCCCCCACTGATGAGCAACATTTCACTACTCCCCTCAATCATATAGATCAGGCATGGCCCATTTATAGTGCCCTCGCCTCGCAGGACGGTGCTGTTGGGGGCCATGGGAACACAAAGGCTGCCTGCCATAACTTCCATGTATTTTCTCCCTTTCTGCTTCTACTTGCAGATCCATGATCAAATTCCTCTGTTCAACAGATTCCCCAGTGTCATCCGCCCCCTCTGTCTGTAAACAGTCCTAAAGCCCCTGGGTAAACTGTTCTTATCCCTCTGTCATAGTCCTTAGGAGAGCAGGGAGCGCTTGCAATTTGTGTGGACATTATTTGTAATGAAATATTGCATCACTTAACAGCAGCAAATGTGAGATGGTATTGAGCGGTGTATCTTCAAAAAGAGATAGTGGGAAGCAGCTATGACTTGAAGAGCAGCTGGCTTTGTGGTTTTGGGGACCGTTCTGGTCTCCAGTGTTTCAATTCTTGCTGCTTCTTTCTGTACCTCTGATCCAGCCACATGTATCCTGACAGGATTTATTGAGAGTCCTTAAGATACGCGTTTCCCCCTCCTGGCTGTCACAGCCAAACACTATAGGAACATAATGTTGTGGGAATATTGTTTTTCAATACCTCGCCTGACTTTCTATGGCCTGATGCTGACATTTGTGTATAGTACTGACTTCTGTTTGGAAAAGGGAATTGCTTTGATCTGGCTATGGTAGGGTATAAAAAAAAAAAAATATATAGGCAAAGCCTAAACTGTGAAAATAGATGGTAAGGCAGTAGGAAACATGCATGTCTGCAGAGCATGTTTTCCTTACTGGTGATACAAATCTTTGTCAGAGAAGCATGGATGTCTCCCACTCCACGCTCAGACCCGTCTCTATACCAGGTCTTTGGGACCTGCCGGCAGACCGTGCCAGTGGTAAAGCGAGGGCTGGCCTGGCTGGCCTCTACATCTTCTAAACACACGCAGGAAAAATAAAAACCACAACAAGGTTGTCTCCTTCTTTTACTCTGCCCTGCCTGAGGCACTCTGCTGGGGGCTCGCTCTTGCATTCAGCCAGGAGGAGATTTTTTTCCTGGACAAGTATTTAAAGCCTTCAGTCTGGATCCGGGTGAGACTCAGTGCAGTTCCCCGACACAGGAGCGTGCTGCTCAGGGAGCAGGTCGCCCCATACCCTTTGCAAACCAGCGACTGTACTGGGATATCTGCACTGGTAGAACTGCCCCTAAATAGTCTGGTTTGGTATTTTTGTCTAACCGGCAGTAACCCAATCCACCTCAGCAGTAGTGTTGTGTTACAAAATCTCTGTCGCGGGTTTCCTGCAAACCTGAAGGACATGACATCTCTTCTGCTTATGCCAGAGTGACATAACTCCTACAAACGCAGAGCCAGGAGGACTCCTTGACTGGCACCTCTAGCCGCCCCCCCCCCCCTTTTTTTTTTTTTAAATGTTTATGAAGGGATAAGCCCCTTCATAAGCTGATCAAACCTAGCTTTTAGAGTAGGGGGGTTTAATAGCTTTTGATCTCAGCAGAAGGCTGTGCTAATGTCCTGCTGCAAGGTTTTCTGCTGCTCACTCTAAACGTATTTACAGTTACTTTATATTCAGTTTTCTTGCACAGTATTGTCCTTTCATTTCAGAATCGTCTCTCCTTTTGTTTCTTCAGCTGTATTTATTTTAGTGAAATCATATCCTAACTCAGTCTTCAGTTCACTGGTACAAACAAGCCATGAGCTTTCAATCACTTCTTTTATGGTAGAGTCTCAATTTCCCCTCTGTTATCCTAATGGCCTTTTTTTCTGCACATTTTCCAGTTTCAGGTTTTTTATTATTAAATATTTTTATTATTAAATATGTGTTACAGAATTCCAGTCTAAAGAATGGATCACCATTACCAAATATTTAATCTTCTCTCTTCCTGCTGGAAATAAGTTGCTGAATACATCTTGGGATCATATTAGTATCATTCATAGGCTCACTCCAGGGCCATCTTATGAACAGTACATGTTTTATGGATCTTGGTCTTGTTCTCTCTGCCATTTTCAGCTGACCAGCCCCCAGCTAAATTTTTTGTGACAATTTCCTAAATATATGGTCTTACTTCTTATATTCTCTATATTCTTAAATTTGACCCATTTTTTTTCTGCCTAGCAAATGGGTCTTGCTTGCTTATTTGACCTTTAAAGATTACCTTTCTGGTCCTCCACTGTAGGAGGGATGCATCCCACCTGTGTGCCAGTAGCACAGTATCTAAATATGCCCAGTTTCTTCTGGAGAGGTTCAGTAATTAAAATTTTAATTGAGATTAGTGTTTAGATTCAAGGACTTCTGCTAGGAACCTCTCTCTGTTGCAGCAGCTTTCCTTCCAACTCAGTAACTTACTCTTTGCCCTCCTAACATAGAAATCCCATCGCAGCCCTCATCTTCTGCCAAACGAGTAATTTCCCACGACTTCAGCTGAGCTGTGTGTTATTCATATTAGCATGAAGGGAAAGTAGGGTGTGTGATTTTATGACCTGGGAGTGTTTTTAAGGGGTCCTACAAAAGTGAGTCATCGTTAACTTTGGTTTGTCTTTGTGAAGTGTCTGCTCTCAGTCTGGCAATAACTATTCAGGAGACGACTCGGGGGGGTAAACCGCACCATAGTTTAATATTTGACTAAGATTATAAGAGCTCTTAGGTATGCATAGCTTGTAACAAGCTCGGTGCAGGACCCTGCATCACCTGCCACCTTGTGATTGCTATGGAGACCCCAGCACCCATCGGCAGGTGGATGCCCACCTTCCAGAAGGAAGTGACCCCAACAGGCAGAAAAATAAGGAAGACTTGGTCCAGGTCCCCTTTGTCCTGCTGTGCAGCCCAGCTCCATGGCATCACCGTCTGCAATGACCTTCCTGACAGCAGCTTGTCCCACCGGCTGCTGCAGATGAATCCATTCTGCTGTGCTTTACCTGGGAACCGCTCCACGTATAATTAACGCTTGGGAGACAGGTTTGCTTGCTTGTTTGTTTTGTTGTACTTGCCTCAGGTTAAACCTCCCGGTGTGGTTTAGGGGTGAGACCCGGATGCAAGTGACGGCACAAAGATGTGGCAAAGGAAGGAGACGGGGAGGGACCTCGTCGGGCCATGACTAACCACTGGTTCTGTGGAACTAAGCAAGGGAAAGGATGACAGGCTGCTGAGTCCTCCCGAGAGCCGTTCCCATTGCATCGAGGGTAGCTTTGGGGAAGGGAGTTACAACAAGGGTATATTGTTTCTTTGGGGAAGTTGTTGTCTACAGTCCTGCGTGGCGCTGGCTTTTATTTGAATGTTGTTGGTCAAGGTAAACCCTTAAGGGCAGGAGCACTGGGAAAGGAAAAAGGGAAAATAGTGTTGAGACTAGTTACATCGAGAAAGTATCTGCATTTTTGTCTTGTCTACGCTAGGCTTTTACAGGGAGATAGGTATGGAAATGTGAAGCAAAGAACCTGCAATTTGCAGGAACTAGAATAAACTTAACATTTGAAGTCCCCATAGGCAACCCGAGCTGTTCTTTACAGCACCTGTGAGTGGAACAGGATCGGCTGTGGGCTTCCCCACGGCCCCTCCTTCTTCATCACTTCCTACAGTGACTACAGCATCCCTGGGAACCTTCTGACTTCCAACACCTTCAGGCCAGCTGCCAGTGCCTCCCGTGAAAGGCTGCCCTCCCCTCTGTTTGTAGATGGCGATTTCCCTGCAGGTGTGAGCAGTACAGTCCTGCAAGTGTAATTGCAGCCTTTCAAGGGGATCAGGTCACAATAAACTTCTTGGTGCAAGAACTATACAGGTGGCCTCTGCAAGCCTGAAATGTTGAAAGCAGGCTGGAAAACAAGGGAGGTCCCCTTCATCTATTCAGCCAGTGCTTCTCCTGTCTCCAACTCTACCATTCAAAGAATTGCTGAAACCTCTGTGCCAGGTGAAAACACTGATAATGCTTTCAGTGCCACAGGCCTCTTTCTGTAGGGAAACAGCAAAGCAATACAAGAGGGAGGGCAACAAAACAACATGGACAGGTTTTCAAAGATTCCCAAATAATCCCTTTGGAATCTAATTCATGTTGTCAGCTTCACCTAAGTATTCAAGGGGAGGGGGGGCTTCCTCCTCAGTGGAGATGCTTACTCATCCCACTACCTACAGGCTGTCTGAGGATGGACAGAGATAAGCAGAATGAATTGCCTAGATAAGGAGAGAGTCCAGGGTTTGCTACTCCTCTGGCATGCCAAAGCAGTAAGTACAACTGTTTCTCATTTACCTTTCTCAGCTGCTGCTGAGCCATTATTAGCCTTTACGCTTTACTTAACTGCCAGTAACAGAGGCAGGAGGGAGGGCAGGCAGGCCAGCTCGCCTGACCTCTGTATTGCTGAGACCTGTCTATTCTCTGGTGCAGTGCCAAATAGTGCAATTTTGGGTTGATCAGTCAAACACTAAGTTGGGAAAGGTTTCCTCTGTCTCTCGGCATTCTTCCTTCTCACTGCCCTTGCATTGCCTTATGAAAGGTGAGACTATCATGGGAGAGGAGTGAGACTGATTACCGATCGCCCAACGGAAGAAGGCAAGAAATGATGCGCTCTCCCTATTCCTGCTAGAGCTCTGGGGCAGCCTTTTTGGCTTCCATGCTCCTGTGGAGACACTGGAGGATGAGAGAAGTGGATGATGGACATCAAGATGCTGGGTATACTTGGGTTGCTTACTCCGGGCTCTGGATTTTTTTAAATTTCCAGCCCTGGCTACATTTTCTGATCTGCACAACTTTTTCCTGTGCCTGTTCCTGCTCACAGGAGGGTGCAGAACCTCTTTACCTTGTGGTGTCAACATAGTATTGATACACTCACCTCTGCCGTCTTCTCTGGTTTAATTTGTGTTAACTATCATGTTTGCAACCACAGGGAAAGTAATTATATTCTAAAACGGGCGGAGAGTGGCTTTTGGCTGTCTGGAAGGGAAATGTTCCTCTCTAGGCTGGGACTCAAGGGAAAGGGGCCGACCTGGTTCTCTGGAAAGATGAGCTGGGGCCCTGCTGAATTATTGAGAACACACCACAGTCGTCAGCTCGGAGAGAAAGAGAAGCACCAGCTTAAGTCACAGGTGTGGGATGGAGATTATTAGCTTCAAGAACAGAGGAGCGTAACCAGATCTGCCTCATGCTCTCGGTTGCTCTGCTGCCTGGATCAGTCACAGCTGCTTAGCACTGCGATGCAGATGCTCAGCTCGGTTTGGTGGCCCTCTTTGGGGCCAAAGACAGTCACAAAAGCCCAACTCCACAGTACTGAATCCACCCCTCCTTTCAGAGGGAGAACCTTACTCTTAGGGCAGGCCTGGAGGAGCAGCAACCCCAGGTCACACACATGGAAACTGAGGCGCAGCGTTTCAGTCTAACGCTCAAATGTGTTGGCCACATTTAAACCCCCTTTATTCGCCTACATAAACAATAAGCAGATTTGCAGAGGACATGATCACCAGCAACTGCAGCAGGAGGTCCATTGGAGCTTACATGTGTGCAGCTCTTGTGAAAAAACAGGTTGTCTGATTACATGACTTAGTTGCCCAAGTACGCGTTCACCTCTGGAATTTTGGTCCAGGTTGTATGCACGAGACTATAAGGCAAGATAACTAGGTTGAAAATAAGATCTCATCTCCCAGCCGTGCCCGAGATCTCTGAGATCCCCCCGCTGTGCATGTCCAAACAAATTGGTGGATGTCCTTCTGTTGCTTTGGCCACCTGAATCCGCTGTCACACGAGGCAAGGACGGGGTGCAGTGCTGTGAGAAGAGTCACGCAGCTGCTGCTTGTTTGGTGGCAGCTGGCACTCACCAGCACTGGCAGGTGGCCTGTGCACCCCCAGGAGGTGCTGCCTTCTTCAAAGGGGACAATATCACTTGCCCTGTATGAGGCACCCAGTCCTGTGCCTGCAGGGACTGCTACCACACCCTCACAGAGTGATCCTGCACGCTTTTTGCTTCTTCCTCTTGCTTTAATGATAGATTAAAATAGTTTATTACTGGAGGCCTACTTTATCTGTAAACCAAGAATTCATGATTAAGCTCATATAAGCCAAAGCAGTATGACAAACATCCTGTAACCTGGCTCATTTTGGCTTGCAGCTTTCCTGAGAGGGCCTCTGACAACCCCCTCTGAATGTCTTATTCCGTTGTAGGGTGACACTGACAGAGCAGCACGAGGCCACCAGGGTCTGCTTGGTACTTTGTCACTAGAGTACGGATGGTGGGGCGAGTCTGCCTGTGGACGTTTTCAGATGTGGTGTCTCAGCGCGTTGCTGACACTCAAGCGAGATTACAAGTCAGCAGTGGCTCAAGGTGTTTGAAGAGCCGTTATGGCAGGTTATATTCCCCTTTCCCTCTTCCTCACACTTATCCTGTGACCTCAGGATCCTGTGCTTCAGAAATTCAGTTATGCTGGCAGAAGATTAACAGGGCAAACCCCATCTTTCCATGTAGAGTTGAACTGAACTGCTCAACGAAGAGCACCAGAGTCAGCACAGGGGATGGAAGAAGCGGGCAACTTCCCTGCCAGCCCTTCAGCTGCTGTCAAACTTTTGGACTGACTCGGGGATGCCAGGTAACTTCTCTTGTAAGTCTGGTCCTCTTTCTCTGGTCTTAATGCCAGCCTGGCTGGAGTTCCTTGGGACCAAAGAAAATAGAGGTTATTTTCCACTGTTAAAAAATGTTGGTCCTCCAACACCAAAATAGAGCACTTCTGTTTGGAGACAGGAACTTGACACCTGGCAGTGTGCGCACTGCGGTTCAGAGTTACCTTTTGAATATCTGCCTGTGTTTGGCCAGCATATTAATTAACCTTTGAAAAGTCAATAGTTTTAAACACATTATAGGACGTTCAATGGATTTTGCAAGGTTTCTAACAGTTAAGAATCTCTGAAGAATCTGCACTCACTGAATATGCTCTGAGCCTCTCACAACATGGATTTTTCTGGGAAATTTTGGTCTAAATAAGAGTTTTAGGAGTGAGATTAGAGGGAGGATACAGCCAAACACTGAGGAAAAATGGGTAAAGCTGCTTAAATTAAATAGCTGACAGCTGTCTCCTGAATAGAAATTTTAGGCTGTCTGAAAAGTAGAGGAGATTATATCAGTTTCAGGTATACTTTAATACTTTATCCCTCACTGATGTGGAAGCAAGTTTCAGGATCAGCATTTTGTGGAGTTTTCCATCAGAAAAGGCTTCTATTTTTTTCCTCAAATTCAGGATGAAAAGAAGGGCTGGAATGGCCTTGCCCATTTTTCTATCACCCTGTGTACAAGATGTCGCTATCTGGCTGTACCATCATCCCTCTGGGCACACGAATGTGGCTTTGGCAGTGGGACTGGGTATGACTTCCAGAGGAGACCAGTCCCCCTGCAGACTGCCCCATGCTGCCCAGCAGCAGCTATCGAGGGAGAAAGGTTGGTTGCTTTTCCTTTGGTTCCTCTAGCTCGTGGTCTCCAAACTGGAAGTACCTTGGCTGCCAGGAGCAGCAGAGAATTACATGTTTTTTCCATGTAAATCACGAGACTGGGGTTGTTGGATCTACTTCATGACGGAGGGTCTCAGCTGGTTTGTCCGTTCGATAGGGCAGGTCACCGGAGGGCTCTGGGAACAGATGAATGAAGAGGTGTGACGCAGCATCTAGAGCGAATGTGCCCTGGCACCCCTTAAACGCAGCTGGCCCTATTTCTGTTCCTCTGAACAGTGCTGCTCACGTGTATCCTTCTAAAATGGCATAGGGCAATAACGCTGCAGACCTTTAACCTGTCTTCCAGTAAGAAAGAGATTGTAAACCAAGCAATGATAACATATAGTACAATAGCAGTTTATGATGCTTCAGCAGGTGAACCTGTTTACCATGAATACTTTTCTGTGGGAAGGAGATAGTGCTATATCCCTAGACAGGCCTTTCCCTGCAGGGTCATCATGTCCAATACTTCTTTTTAATAAAAGCACAGATATTTTGTTATCTCAGAAGCACCTTGCTCAAATGATCTCAAATTCAGGCCACTGGGATTTCTACAGAAATTTTTGAGAAAGCTGGAATAAATTTACAGATTGTAGAACAATGTAAAAGGGGACTGCTGAGCCCAAGTTTGGCTTGTGGTGTCACTGACCTAGTATTCCCACTCTTGCAAAATAGGGGATGTAGACACATGACTCCAGACCATTTCTCCTTATCTGTGCTGGGTTCAGTGCTTTAGCTGGAAAATGCCAAATACACCATTTCAATGGGAGCTACACCCTGTAGCTGCAGGCAAAGTAGTTTACAAAGGCTCATGGAGCTTGAACACAGCAGGATTCGATGCATTATGTAGGGATCAGCCCTCTGGAATTGCACATGCACGTAAGTCATGCCTGTAGGAAAACAGTCATTTAAAACCTCCTTCTTCCCCACCTCTTGGAGCTGACTTGAGTTAAATATTAACAAACTTGGTTCATCAATTCCCTGGTTCCCTTGGCTTCTTTTAACAACAGATGTTATTACAACAAGTCCTCTGCCGGCCTGCCTCCCCGCTCCTGTCAGCGAGGCCGATGGTGAAACCCAAGAATCGGCGGCTGTAACTCTGCCCGCAGAGCCTGGCTGCGGCCCCCGCCATCTGCTCTCCCCCACCTCTCTCCCTGGGACCACCAATGCTGCCCGCCTTTGGCATCTGTGAGTAGCCTGTGCTGTGAGCCACTGGTTGCTGCAGAGAGGCGTTGGTTAAAGGAGACGGAGCAAAGGAGCAAGGGAGCCCAGGGGAAGGTGAGTTCTTGCTGTCAGAGGAGGAGGAGGAGGAGGAGGAAGCAGTGAGCATGGCCAGCAACTCCAGTGCACTGCCCCGGGTGACTTTCCAGACGCCAGAGAAACCTGGGGAGGAATCATCACACAGGAAACTGGGCAAGTTAACCATCAAGTACAACCGCAAGGACCTACAGCGCTGGCTAGACCTGGAGGAATGGATCAACAGCCAGCTGCAGGAGCTGTACCAATGCCGGGTGAGTAGCTGGGGCAAACCAGCCCCTCGCTCATCAGGTGAATGGGACTGGAGGCCCTGTGTGCTGGGACAGAAGGTTGCTTGCTCTGTCTTACTGGAAATAGCTTCTCATCTTCAGTCTTCCTCGCGTATCTTACTGCCACTTGCTACCGCGCTCTCTCTGACTGGTGTGTCTGCAGCCAGAGAAGCTTGCACCGATACAATCCAACCAGCTTTAAACTGCCCAGTTTTGCGCCTGCTGGGGGGTGTAGCTATTGCTCAGCACGAGTAGCAGAACCTAGAGAGATATACACACCCGGGATGCTTCTTGCTGCTGAGCTCCATGTGGTGAGTGGCTCTGCTGCCAGCAGTATCTACGCTAGCTGTGTTAGAGTTATCAGTGTACCGTTGTTCCTTTCGGTCACAACAGTGTAGCTACAGCTGCTGTTTGAGTGAGATGCCCCAGATAATGCTGTGTCTGTAGCTGCAGAGTCTGCACACAGTACTGGTAGAAGGGGTAGAAAGAAAAAAAAACCATGCTCAAATATAGAGATCTTATGGCTTCATCGTCACAAATCCCCAGAGCTGTCTTTCTTGCCTGAGATTCCCTTTGCACCAGGAACAGTCCCTCCTAAATTCTTCCTGCCTATCTGAGAGCTGTTCCACTAAGAAAGATGCAGGGGTGCCTAGGTCCAGCACCCCAATGGTACCAGTCTTTACTTGAGCTGTTGCAGGGTACATGACATTTTTTCTTCAGGGTGGTGTGACAAGTTCCAGCACTGGCTGGGTACACTGAAATTTTAACCTGGTAATATCACTTCTATTTATATTTTGTGCTTAGATGGATGGCACTTACACAGAGAGCTTTCAGACGGGATAGTGCCTTTCCATGTTTGACATAATTTCTTTGGAGTGTGGTACAAGAAAAGGTGAAAGGATTTCCCACATTGTACATCATGGTCCTAAACCCATTTAAATATCTTGACTAAGGGGTTTGCTTTTATCTGTAGAGCAATGGCTGATGCAGTAAAAGAACATAGCTTTCTTGACTCACAACCCAGTACATCTTCAACAGAAGACATAGATGGGTTTAACAAATTGTGTAAAACAGCTTATTCATATCTGGGATAGGGACAGACTAAATGAACTGTCAAGCCTTTCTGCCCTGTTTTCATATTTGCACGCCAGCACAGCGTTAAGCACATTTTTGAGATACAAGGAAAAAAGAGCTGATGATTGCTTAAAATCTTCCTTCCACTCTGAGCACCAGCAATTTCAAATTGCAATCAACAGTGGAAGTGGACATTTTAGAACAGCCCAGGAAAGGCGGTTTTTGTGCTATATGCCATGATGGTACAGAGAAGCTTTGCCTGCCCAGGCTGATTTTCTGGGCCTAAGAGCCATAGAACGGTATCAGCTCCGTGGCTGAAGAGCCGAACTTCAGGAACTGCCTCTGAGGCTATCTTTATTACTGTTGTTGCTGTTGTTTATTATTATTATTATTATCATCATCATCATCATTATTATCATCATTTTCTGTGTGACTGTTTCCTATTTGGTATTTGTGGGAACGTACCAGGTTCTCATGGCATGTTGGGAGGGAAAAACAGTTAATTTCTGTTTTAACTTATGCCATACACAAAGAACATGCAGCAGAAAACAAACACGGAGAAAAAGGTCTTATCTTCTGTCGCAAATGCATGGGTCCTCTGAACATGAGTATATTACTGCTCCTGTTCTGTTAATTAACATTCTTGGACTTCCCAAACAATTTTATAGCTTGTTTAGTAAAAATGACAAAGGATAAAAGATCATAATCTTTTCAAGACTTAATTGTGAATTTCCAGCTGTTTTCTATAGTTCATAAAATGATAGTAATAAATTCTCAGCTGTATCTGAACATATATGAAACATATATATATATATGAAACATATAGTGTATGTAGGAGCAGATGTTATCTCTAGACATAGTCAGGCAAATCCAGCATGTCTGTGAAGTGCTAGAGTGGTGGTCCTGGTGACTGAAGGCTGTTCAAAAGAACAGAGGCAGCGACTGTGTCGCTTGCCAACCATGCCTGCACCGGCATTTAAGGGACTGTCCCTGGGGTTCGTAGCTCAGTTCAGAAAGCCCTTAGCCTGAGCGTTGAGATTTGCTAGAGATAAGCAAGGAGAATGGCTGCTGCTTTGAGTAACAGAACATCTTGCCCTTTGGGGAATTACTGCAGTTTTAAAGAGAAGGTTTGGTTTGGGTTTTTTTTAAATAGATGAGAAGCACTTGGTACCACCAGTAACATGACCTGAGATGAGGTTCCCTGTGTCCTACTCTTACTTGCCCAAGTCTACAGATGTACACTTGTAAAGATGTCAGAAAAACAAGTCAGGTTATGTTACCACTTCTGGTTTTCTGAGAATTAGGAGCTGTTTACTGTCACCAGAGTAGCTGCCCAAAGGGACTATTTTTTTCCCTACTACAAAATCCCAGCAGGCACAAGTGAGAAATCCAGCCATGCCCTTACAGGAACAGATTGCCAGTGGATTGCCTTTGCTAGCACCTCTCCAGCACAACAGGTTTCCCAACTTCCTAGTGTATTTGGGCCAACCTAAGAGATTTGCTACCAGGAACTGTGTAACGTGATGCTATGCCAGGTCAGAGACTGTTAGTAGGGTACAACAGGGGGTTACATAGGATCTTTTCAAATAAATACATGTGCCACAGTAAATTACTTCAGCATTACTGGACACATTAGCAGGTGTCTAGCAGGTCCTCCTGCTCTCCTTTGTGCATTGTGGCAAGACTATTTAGCCCTGCTAGTCTGGGCTTCCTTGGATCCATCGACTTCCATTACGTTGTCTCTTTGCCAGCTTCTTCCTTTGCTCCACCTGCCCTTGGCAGTGCAATGTTCCTCAGGGTCTTCCAGAAACCCGTGTGACAGAGAGACAAAAAACAGCGTTGCAGATTCAAATGCCAGCAAGGTTAATTCAAACATTGCCTCCTGGTACAGGTAATCTGAAAGCTATGCTATTTACTGTCATGAGGCTTTCTGCAACAAAACAATTCTGGTTTTCAAGATGATTCCCTGCACGTGGAAGCCAGAACACCGTCTGTACTAGGACCAGAAAGCCACAGGGAGTTCCTACCCTGTCTCACCCTCCTGGCCTATTTAGCTTCTTAGCCAGAGACAAAGTCAGGCTGGATCAACACCTGTTGTCTAAACAGTCATATGAAATCTATTCCTTTTAAGAAGAAATGCTGTGTGGGTCAGTACAATGTATTTAACTCTGTTTTATTACTTATTGTCAAGTCAGCTGTGTAACAAAGCTAACAAAGGTTTTCTACTTCTTCTCTGGCTTGGTATCAGAGACTGCTCAGAACAAGTTTCTTTTTTTCCTGTAAGAATTGCCTTTATTGTTTAATGGTTTACATATACATCCATAAATGCTACCCAGCAATCAGGTACTGCACTGTTTACTCACTATCCTGATTCTGCTGATTACTATGTTAAAGTATCACTAGTGTTGTGTTGTCAAAGATTCATTTTGCAAATACCTTGGAAACAACAGCCTGCTTTCCTTACAGTCTTGTAGAGACAGGTGAAGCTAAAATGTGTCTGTGATCAAGTTTACAAATGTTTCCAGCTAATGCCCCCATGCATTACAAGATTATTACTCCAATCACCAAAGCTTGGGGTCTCCCTTACATTAAAGGAGACTATTATATCCCTCTCATGTCTGTTAGAGAAAGCTGGCAAAATTTTGTTAGGCCTTTCAAAAGCGTAATCGTTTTTCTCTCCATTACTGTAAAAAGCCTTAGTATAAATACCAATTATGTGAATATATTTAGCCTAAAAGCCTAAAATCTCCTTGAATTAGTTGTGCCTCTCTAAGATTAAGCCTGCTGGATTTCTGTTTGATGAATGCTTGTGCACACTCTTCATAGATGAGGGTTGTCCCTGGCTGGCTTACATTGCATTGCAGTTGGCAACTGCAGTTGGATATTCTTGAAAGGATCTCCCCATGGTGGACAATGATCCCTGAGCAGTGGTATAAAGTGTGGAGGTGGGGAAAGATGAAGAATGTGTACATCAGGATGTGCAGCTGCAGCGGACACCACAGAGGGGCTGGAATCCATGCCCTCTTTGTAAGAATCTCCTTATTTTGAGACAATTTATATCTTGACCTCAACTTTGCAGCATAGTTTTATTGTAACTAGTTCCTTCTCAGCTGCTCAGTTTTTTACAGATGGCCTCTAGATGTCTTAAAAGTTTGAAGGTTTATTAACTGTGGTTTTTTGGTTTTTTTTAGCTAAGAGAGGAAACAGAGGCAGCAGCTCCTGAACCACAAATAGATCTTGAAGATCTCCTGGAGGTCCCTAATGAAGAACAGAAATTAAAACTACAGGTCAGATAGAGGGACTTGGTGACTTTAAGTTAGGGACTTCCTTCATAAAGAAAAGTAGTGGTGTGGGGGGTACAGAGTATGTATATACAGTGTTGCATGACACTTGCCTCTGTCTTAGCCTGTCAAATGTAGTAAGACTATATACCCTTTTTGTAGGGAGGGGAGAATAGGTCAACTCATAAAATATTAAAATGATTCTTCTTGTTTTTTAGCAAATCCTCCATGAGTGTGCCAGCCCGACAGAGGTGAGTGAAGCACCGTCAATGTCTGTGTTATACTGTGCTGTAAGAGTGTGTCTTTGTTGCTGCTTGGCTGAGTAGCCAAGATATCACTGTGCCTAATGTGATACCACAGATTTCTTTAAATCCCAAAGGGAGGTGTTTGCCACTTTATTCTGCTGTGTTAGAAAAATACATGTAAATCTACATGGGTGATCTGAAGGCAGAGGAGTGGAGCAAGTAAGGAATTACACTTTACAACCGAAGAAAGTTCTTTCCGTGTTTTGGACATCCTAAGCTGACCAGGCCGAGTTACCACTTGGTTCTCAGTGTAGAAAAGCTATAGACAGTGATACAGCTCATGTAACCATCTTGCACACTGTTAACTAAATGCATTCATAGCTTAAACCACTCTAGTGTTTTGAGTGACAAGATTGTAGGATGGCCCTTAGATTGGATTGGGCAGATAATTGTTGAGCAGTGGCCACGCAAGTTAGTCTTACACGTGTGGGGTTTTTTTCCCTATGTGAACTTTACAAGTACTGGTTTTGAGTTAGAGAGTTAAAGAAATCCCACAAGCTCTCACAATGTCCAAAGGAGAGGAGTCCAATACTTTGCAGTGTAGTGCATGCACCGCACAGCAATTGCCTTCACTGCACTGCATACCTGTGCAAAATGGAGTCCACCATCACTGCTTCAGTCACATGCGTTGCATGTGAACACTGCGCTTGGACATCATTCATCAGTCTCCACATCTTGTCGAGCCTATGTAGCTGTAAAGTGATGACCTTACAGAAAATGAGGTGGATGCACAACTATCACTGAAATTAAACTCTGCTGTAACAATCATTACAGATGGTTGCCTAGCAGGGATTCAGCAGACAAGGCTGGCAATAGGGAAATAGTTCTCAGAGTGTTTGAATTTCAGATCTTAGGCAAGAACCCTGCATTCCCAGAGAGATAACTGAAAAGAAGTTGCTCTACTGATTCATGAGCCATGAAAGTATCTTGAGGACAGCATGGTACTTGCTAACTACAGACAGATACTGCTGCCCCATTGGCAAGAATACGTACTTTCACCCTGGTGATCTTGAATCCGGTGCCCTTGAAAGATCACAGCAGCCTATCTGCAGAAAGCAGACAGAGGAAACAAACTGGTTTCCTGTGAAAGGACTGACTGAAAAGGTATGTATGATCCTAGGCATTTCCTTCCAGAGCATGCTGTGACAGGCAACCCCTGATCACCCACCCAAGTGAGGAAGCTGGGCTTCCACACAGCACAGATGGTAACAAGCTGCAATACTTCCAGTGACCTTGCCTAATTACAAGGACATGTAGCTACCTCTCTGGGTGAAGAAAGGCTGCACACTCCTTTATTGTGATGTTACCTGTCATGCAGAAGGTAAATTTTGCACTAGTCTCATTGCCTTCTGCTTGGAATAACCAGATGGTCCAGTTTAGTTCATAGTCCTTGGTGGTGTCAGCAAAGTAGTCAGGGTTTATCTCCATTAACTGCTCATCTATCTGCTCTGCTTGTCCTTAACCCCCGCTCCAGGTTATCATTAGTACTATGGGTGTTTTGCTCCACCTCTTCTCTGCCAGCCACTTCCTTGTAGAATTGGCACAGCTCCGAGATGGTTTGCAATCCACAACATGGAGCTTTACTGGTTCAACAAGAGGGATGACTTGCTTTGCCCTAGATTGGGAGGGCAGTAGAAGTAGGCAGGAGGTTATGGTGGCAACAGGAAGCAGTGGAACCTAACAGAGGACAACAGCATCCTGAGGTCATCTCAAGGTGGAAAAAGCAGGTATCTGGGATGAAGAGGGGCAGGCTGGCTCCTGAGGAGAATGTAAACATGGCTGCTCCAGAGGCAGACAGGGGAAGGAAAGTAGAGGAGCTTTTAGATCCTTCTCATCCATTGAAAGGTCTCCTTTCCTAAGCTAAAAGATAGGTTTGCTCAATACATGTCAAAATTCTGGTTTCTGCTCAACATGAAGGTGAATGTGGCAATAATGCAAGTGCTATAGTATTCTTTGGGCTGGTGAGCACTGGAATTAACATGACATCCTTCTTCAACCAATTCTCACTGTAGGACTTCATTACGGAGTTGCTTAGTCGATTGAAAGGTCTCCGGAGAGTCACCAATCCTCAGAAGAAATGACCTTGTCCACATGGAGCACCCAGCTTTGGTCACAAGAAAACGTGTATCTTCCCCACAAAAACCAGGATCAGCAGCATCACTTCAGAGTATGTTTAGGACTTACTGTTACTGAGAAACATCACTAAGTTTGTGAACTTTGTACCAGTGGTTTGAAGTCTCCTCTCCTTCCAGATCTATGCACACAGCAGGGAGCTAGACTGTATATCTTCCTGATTCTTAAAGGGCATGTTAACCTGGGGAACAGGACAAGATGTCCTTCCTTTAGTTTCCTCTAGGAATTTCCATGCTGGCTGAGGAGCACTGAATACAATTCTCAGGAGCTCATCAAGACTTCTTTCTTTCCGTCCACTGCAAGGAAAACAAGGCATTGGTTATCACTCATTCATCAACATGGAAAATCAGTTACTGTTAAGCTGCACCCTGTTTCAGTCTGGCTGGGACCCAGCTGTGATCTCCTGCTTGTTACTGCTGTACCTGACTCTACAGCATTGCACGTACTTTGTAAGTCTTATTAAGCCTCTGTTATTCATGAAGGTTGGACAGAAAATATACAGCAGCATGGAAGGAAAATGTTTGAGTACACCTGGTCTACTTAAAGGGAAGTTAGTGAAACAGCTGCTAAGGCTAATGGAAGAGAGATTGTTTTCCCTTTTTGTGGAATTTAGGACTTAATGATTTAGAAGCATCTTCTAAAGAAGCAAAGTCTGGGAATGATTTTTCTCATCATTTAAAAAGATGTTGGAAAAATGCTTATTTTGTATATTAAACCAGGGAAAACCAGCTGTGCACTGCTTGCTTTTGTTCTCTTTTTAGACACTAAAGAAAAACTGAAGTGAAAAAATACCTGCTCCCAATTTCCCTGCAGGGACCATCTTTTGCAGACAGGTAGGTCTCACAAATGGGAAGTAGGACACATTGCCTTGCTGCACAAACTCTTCTGGCTACAACTAACATGTGGCTGGAAAAATACAGAGGAAACTACATCCAGCCTCTAAGCAAGTCAGTAACTTGACACATGTGGCTAGGAAATAAGACAGCAAATGGAGGCTGATTGCTTAGGCAGAGCAGACTCTCACATTATGTCCTGCCCCTATGCTCTCATGCCTGCCACTCAAACACAAGAGATGAGTTGCTGAGTCACATGCAGAGGGCGGCCTATGTACCAGTATTTTCAAGGCTAGCTTTTGAGTACATGTTTTGTCAGACAGGAACAGAAGGGGCCAACACTTTGGAACAAAAGGGACATGCAGGTTAGCTAACAAAGACAAACAAGAACTCTTGGGCTGGACCAGTAATATCTTAAATACATTAGTCTTTTCATCTTTATCAGTACCAGGGTGATGACTATTACCTTTTGCTTCCCTCCTGTTTTCTAGCAGAAGTGTCAGTGAACAAGCTGTGGGCTGTGCACATCTCTGAGAGGACAAAATCCAAGCTGCAGTTAACTGTGATGTAAGGGCTGGCTTCCCTTCACATGCTGTTCTTGTATGCGACAGCCTCCTGGAAGTTAGCAAGCCGTGCAGCTCATACCTTGTCCTAAGGCTGCTCCAAGAGGCTCCAAGCCTCACCCACTAGGCTGGAGAAATGGTCTTTCTTTATCAGGTCCATATATATCTATGGTAGCTCTAGGGACATGCCATTTCTTGATTAATAAGGGGATAATAGGACATGCCTGCCCTCCTGAAATCTCAACTTTGTAAGCAAAATAACAACAAAAAAATAAATCCAGAGCTGTGCTGGTTGTAGATCTGGCATTGCTCATGGATTGACACCTGCTAAGACATATATCACAGCCCTTGAGAAAGGAGATATAAAGCACACTGACAAAGAGCTCTGAGCACTGTTAAAAACACAGACTAGGTTCAAACAGAAGTTCAGGTGGAAGATCTATGTGGACAGGCCTGAACTAGAGCTGTAATTAGCTGCAGCACACTAGCGCATAGGAGTCCAGATTAACTATGTATCCTACCAGGAGGGTTGATTTTATTCTGCTGAGCTGTGACAGCACAAAGACCTGAGATGGCTCTCCTCTGGCCCAAGAGAGAGATTTTGTCCACCCTGGGCATTGTTCTGTATTCCCTCAATATGGAGTGATGCAAAAAGAATTTTTGGCTATGCTTTAAGGCAGACATTGCTAGGAAAAAGCCGGTTCTTTAAAGTCTGCTTGACAGAAGTTGTCTTTGTGCTTATTCTGCAAGTAGCAGAAAAAGACTAAGCTGCAGCCCCTATGATATGCAGTTTGTTCTGATACCTAAGGACATCACTACCACATGAGAGCGCTTCAAATGTGATCAGTGTGATCAAGGGGAACAAAGCAAGACGTGGCCAATGCTAGATGATTTCTCAGCTCACTGGTACAAAAGAAAAAGCAATGCAAGGCATTCAGGGCAACTTCTTTTTGTTTAGTTTTTAAAAGTAGTAAATAATATTTGCTTTTATTTACTTTTTGGCAGTTCTCAGCCTAGACCATAAGGATAGACTAAATTCAGTTTGGTTTGGGGGGGTTTTTTTGATTGGTTTGGGGCTTGGGGGTTTTTTTTGTTTTTTTTTTTTTTTTTTTTTTTTACAAACAGCTTCCAGTTAACTTTGCTGTTTCACAGCACTATCACTAGCATAAGGCTGTAATGTCTGGTATATATATACTGTGTAAGAATGTTTCTTTAAAGGAACTTTGCCCTCTTGATTATACCAAGAAAACTCAGGAATGGATGAAAGTTCATGTGCTTTTCTAACTGAAGGTTTATGAAGGTGTATAAAATAACCTTTAATGCAGTTTTCCCTTAGTTATGATCAACACTTACATTGCCTTTAAAAATATTCTGGCTGCTACATTTGGACACATGACCATGTTACAGCATTTGAGGCAACATGCATGCTTGTAAACCACAGCAAATGCAAGTTAATGCAGTTTAACTAAGTTGAGACCTCTCTTGGTAAGCTAATCTGAGTTCAATGTTGTGTTATCATCATTTTGAATTCTTGTTGGGTTGGAGCCTACATTTTGAGAGGGAAAGAAAATGTTCTTGTGCCTTCATGGCATGCTACAAAGACAGAAGCAAAGAAGCTGAATCTCTTTCTTGAAGATACCAAGCTTTCTTCAGTCCTATGACTGAAGTTGATCTGGCCTGTCACGAACTGATTGTTTACCAGTATCTTTACTTGTTTACCAGCACCTTTTCAAAGACAAGGACAGGGAGTAAGCAACACAGCTATAAGTACACTGCCCACTTAAAGGTCATACAGCATTCCTATTTCACAATAACAGATTCAGCTAGGTTTGCTTCCTGCAGACAGCTGATCTAGATACCCCTCTTACATGGAGGTCACTCAGGCAACAGCTACAGTGGGAATGGCTTTCCAGGGGAAAGTGATTGGGCTGCCACTAAAATGGCCAGTTACATGCAGAAAGCTCAGCAGCCACAAAAATGTCCACTAGTGGTGCAGGGAAAGCATCAGCATGTGTGTGTTTGACTGAAGAGACTCTTCCATGTATGACTAAGTTCTGTTTCAGGTATTGGGCTGGGTGCATTTCTGGATTCCTTGGGATGACCCCACAGAACCCAATCTGGGAAACTAAATAAACTGCTTCTGGCTGTAACTTGCTCCTTTTCCACTGATGTGAAGAGGGCAGGGCTTACAAGACACAGGCTGCCTAACTGCACAAGGAGCTCAAAGTTTGGCTGTGGCTGATGAAGCATTGTTGCAAGTAAGGCACCAGCTCATACCAAGATATTAAAAAAAAATCAAACACAAACAACAACCAGCTGTAAAGCAAGAATTAAAATGTCTACTAACTGCTTAGAAAGGACACAGGCTGAAGCCCAAAGGAATGGATCAGTCTTAGAAGAGATAGAAGAAGAGGTATTTGCAACTTCTCCTGTACATGTGAAACACAAAGGATTTAACCTAAGACAGAATTGGGCTGTCTTGCTATCAGACTAATTATCCAGGTCAAATAATAGCAATGAAAAACGGTCATTCCTACAATAACACAAAGCCAAAACAGCATTTTGTTTTTGTTTTTAAGACTGCAAGCTCCTCAGGGCAGTAACTCTCTACTTAAATTTTGTGTAACACAGGGCTCATTGTGAGCTCTTGCACTGGAACAACTCAAGTAGTTTTCCTATCTACGTGTCCCAAAGAGACAGGCACTGGTGAAGCAAGGACTGCCAGGAGAAAGAAGATCCTCCACAGGAGTCAGGTTTTGCCACTCCTCCTAACAAAGAAAGAGTTTTGATGGCACTGCCAGATACACTTGCAATTTTTAGTGTATTAACCTGCAGTATTACTATTCTATACTGTCTGATACAGGTTTCTGTTGAAGGGCCTGATCCAGTCCAGCATGTTAACACAAACCCATCTTCAGCAGTAGTTTAATTTATTTGCTGTGCTTTGACCAGGGGTGGCCGAGGTGCACTGTTTTTGTCAACTCACCTACACAGGCTGTGACTTTAAGTAGAGGGGCAGGGCAGACAGCTGGGAGCAGCAGTGTCAAACCAGACAGGCAAGATGCATTGGAAACTCCCTGTCAAAGGCAAATACTTGATTTTTTTGCCATTGGACTTTGTCAACGTTAGACAGCTCTCTTGGAAGTCACATTACAGTCCTGGGAAGAGCTCATCATGATGGGATATTACAGCCAATTTAGGGCAAGTTTAGTCAGGTATTTGAAGCAATTCTGGGTGCTTTGGTCACTGGCAAGTGCCACTTGCATCTAGACCAACTCCAGGGAGGGATATGAGCCTATTAAACTGAGCTTCTCTCATAATCAGATAAAAAGCATCACACAGGTAACATCTTTGTCCTACCAGGCAACCAAATAATAAAGAGCCAAACCCTGCTTTCAGACTAATACACAACTCTTGCAGACTAACACACTGCTCTTGCAGACCACATGGAACCTCAGCACAGCCACTGCAGATCACAGTGCTGTGCATCAGTAGCAGATTACCGTTACAAAGCATCCTTCATTTCTAGTACATGAGCAACACTGCCCATCAAGGCAGAGTAGCCCCTGCACCTTTTTCAGCCTCACCACAGAAACATTTCTGATGACTTCATGATCCTTCATTTCTTTCCCTAAGCCACTTGCCACTAGGACTAACATACCATTACAAGAAGGCAACATTTTGTAAAGGGCTATCAGGCATTTCGAGGAGAGACTTTAACCACAGGCCTCCGTAAATAGTTTTTATTATGCTTTGGAAGTTCTCATCACACAAGTGATCACGACATAGACAGTTTTCTTAGTGCAAAGTGCTTCGTTGCCCGTTGAATCAGTGTATAAGCTGTTAGCAAAAGCAGGAAGTTACTTAGCAGCCAGTCAGTACTGCCTTAAACACACATCTTTACTGCTACCCATACTGCCTTACCGTCTGTATTTATAGACTTGTATCCACCTCCTCATATCACGTCCTCATTTATCCCCAAGCATGCACAGCAAACGCTGCACTTCGCTGGTTGTATCTGTGAGGACAAAGTCACACATCCTCCAAACCTCTCTCAGATTACAGCATATCCTTTAACTGTCCAAAACATCACCCATTTTGGCTGCAAATCCACTTGGACTCTTCCCATCTGGCCGACTCCTCTCGTTTCCCATTCTCCATCTCCTTTTCTACCCATGAAGAGTGTGATCACTTCTACTTGCAAGGAAGCTGATAGCGGGAGGTGTGGTGGTCCTTCAGGTCAAACTCATCATGGCCTTCCCTGAAAAGCAAACACAAAGTGCAGTCAGAAGTAAATACTCAGGCACGGAACTCACCCTTAGCCACTGCAGAAGATGTCTCCCAGCAGCCCTTAACTAGAAACCTATCCCGTGGGTTATCTGTGAGGACCTGACTGGCAGCCACATGGACTGACTACTTTAGATATTTGCTTGTAACAGAAACCTCTGAGGTACTTTGTGGAAAGTTCTGCTCATCCTTGCCTGCTGAAATGGGAAATGACAATAGGTGTCTCCGTCTCTTCCCCTCTTTGAGAGATTCACGTAACTGGTGGCTCATTTTCAGCACCATGTCTGTGATTCCCAGGTGCATTAGCAACTCCTACGATAGCAGTCAAAATGATAGTCTGCTGCGCACAACTCCAAAAAATAACTGTTGTGGCTAAAATGCAGTGTATTGGCAGCTGTCTTAACCATGCTCAGAAGCAGGCAGTGTTGAGTAAGACACAAGCTTGCATCTGCAGCATGCAACTGATACACTCACTTACCTGCCAGACTGCTGATTCTGCTTTTACTGATGTTTGCTGTCTGATACTTTTATCTGTTTGTTTTGTTTTTAATCATCTATCATTGCCAGTCATACGTCTTGTTACCATTTTCATGTGTTCTCCCCCCCAACTCCATTTCCATCTCTCTACAAAAACATTTGCAGGAAATGAGGGAATATACACAAAAGCATCTCTTACTATCCCAACCAGACTCTTAGCGTCCTGCTGTCTAAATGTCATCCAGCACTAATCTGAGAACACAGCCAACTACCCAATACTTTTGAGGCATGAAAAAGAGAAGCCACACAAGCTGTGAGGAATAGCTTTCTATTCAAAGGAATTAACCCTCCAAATCTGATACATGCAACTTTTTTGTCAAAAATAAAGCTACAGATGTTTAAGAACCAATAGCTGCTGCAAGGCCTGACTGAGGAAAAAAGGTTCACCCACACATATTTCAACAAATATTTTTTTATATGGTTTAAGACCGCAGAGTCTCAACCTAGGAAAAGCCACAGGAATTTTTACTATCTGATCTCTCCTCTTGTGGGAATCCAGCCCAGATCATCCATCAATGTCATTAACAAGCCATAGGAGTCACTGAACAATGGCCTCACTTATCCCATCCCACGCAATTCAGCACATCAGCTGCCCCAGAGAACACTCAGACAATGTGTCCAAACATGCAC